CGTGATGATGCTTTGGCCAATTGGGCCTTGGATGGACGGAGGCCACCCTAGCGAGCGAGCGGCAACGGCGCCATCAAGCGCGTCAACCCCGCCTGTAGTTGCCCATGCGTGGGTGTGGCCATGGTTCCCAGTCCCTCTCCCGGACGTACGATGCTTGGATTGGAGGGAGGCGCGGCATGATGGAGATGCAAATGGGGCCGTTTGTCTTGTTTGCCTGTTTGCCGAGGAACCGTGGGGGGATATGATGCGCATGCATGCATGACAGATGACAGACGAACTTGGGCCGATGGGTTTGGATCATTGGATGCCACCTGATGTCCTGGTGCCTGAAAGCGGCGGTACAGTGTGGGATCTGGGTCACAACTCACGACTCGTGTGTTGTGGAATCTGTTGTGTTCCTCCTCCTAACTGTGGAGACATACAATACCAATCCGCGGCGGCACTAGTCTTCAGTTCTTCCTTGTGCTGACCACGGCTTCCACCTGCAGTACGCGCAGCGTTGGCCATCCCGTGGCACATTCCAATTCCACCACGTTACAGCAGCAGCAGCAGCACGGTGCCCGGCAGGTCGCTGCAACTGCATCATCTGCAGTGCTAGGTCTGCTGCCTGTCGTTACGAAGAGCAGTGCCCGGAGCGGAGCGTAGCTAGCTCCTACAGGAGGCTAGGACTGACGACTACTGACGACACGAGATAAACAAAACAAAACTACTATTGCGCCTACCAATCTGATACGTACCAATGGCTGAACAACTCACGTGTCGCGCCTAGTAGTATACTCCTAAAAATTATCTCTTGCCCGGCAGGCTGCAGCCCCTTTCTTCACAACGATAGAGAAGTAGATGAGATGGGCATGGAGAAGTCTGACGGTGCGATTCCCAGACGGCAACGCCGGATATTGAAAGCGCACATGGCGAGACCCAGTGAAAGCCCAGCCCAGGTAACGCCTGGACTGGGCGTCTGGGCGTTCCCCAGGCTCGATCAAATCCATCCATCCGTCCGCACTGTCACACGACCTGTCTCGGCGACCTCAAATGTCCGCAGGTCGCTCAACTTGCGTGCGCCCAGCTGTGTTTGCGCACTGGCACTGACCTCGATCTGCCATCGCCCATGCATGGCAAGTATCTCTCGGTGGGGTGGTGTGAGCTTGCACGCGGGACAATCGCTGAAGGGCGCACTAGGATGTTGTTTTCGTCGCGTGACTCGCCCGCAGATCGATTCCTCCCTCCCCTTCCTTCCCTCCAATCTCCTTCTGGTCCAAGCAAAAGGAGATTGAGAAGGAGCGGCCTTGGCCAACGAGGATGGAGGGAAGCCGGGGAGGCCGTGTGGCCCTTGGCCTTTCCGGCCTAGCGAGATAGGGGGCGGTGAGGAGGCCCAGCAAAAAAATTGTTAAGTTTTTCAAACAAATGAGAAAACCTTGGTTATGGCTGTTGTCATTAATGTTGATAAATTCTATTCATATTTTGATTAGGGTAACGTGGACTTTTTTTTGTGCCGTTCATTTTTATTCATGATCAATTATCAGAACATATATTATTTTTTGGTTGGTTGATTTGTTTTTCCAATCGATCCCTAGCGTTTAGACGGGTATACCAAGTGGGAAACGATGTCTGGCGGCAGAGGAGAGAGTGTGCCGTCGAGGATCTGGAGGCCCACCGGTCCGTACAGTCCTGTACACGCGCACCTAGGCATCGAAGCTACCGTGCGAAGAAATGTCTCAGACTGTTCGACTGTTGGTTTGAGCCAACGTAAACCAAATGTAAATAATAAGATTTTTCTAAAAAAATCAAAGACCAACATTTCAAACCAAATCAACATCAAAGACCGACCAAATGAACGCGCCTCTCTGTCTGGTCACTAACGCGCCGCGTGCGCAAGGGTACGTTACGTGACGCTGCTTTGCATGTAGCCATCCGTCCCGTACCCCCGATCCCATCCAATTGTCCGAGCCACGGGCGGGCCGAAAGAGACGTGTCGGCAACTTGACACGGTACCCATCGATGCGATATTACGCTTAGACGTTTTTTGCACGCAAATACCGAGCACGTGTCGGGACTCTCGCATCGCATGAGCCCGGTCCTGTTCATGTTGACTTTTTACGACGTGCGATTGAAACGGCAGTCCTCACTGATGCAGATAAACAGTACGTACACTTCTTTTCCCGACGTGCAGGTAGCTTCAGGAGTAGGAGTACATCTCAGCGCCCTTCTCTGCAAGAAACCGAGTGCAACGTGTATCGATTAGCCCGCGCTAATAGTCCTGGCGCTGGCAACGAGTCCGGCCGGAACCACACGTGCGACGAAGCTCGCCGGCCGGGCGTCCGGCTGGACCGGACCGGGGCAGACAGGATGATGCAATGAACGCACGCACGCACGGAAAGAATCTCGCGTCCTCGCGGTGGGTGTCGTCCTGCACGCCGCACGCATCGGGTGCCCTGCCCCTGCCCCTGCCTGCCTGCCTCGGTGGGCACGAGCTGGCTGGCCTGGCCTGGCCCTGCCGGACCGGCCGGCACGGCACCGGACGAGGGGCGACTCGGGCCGGGAGGTTGGTTAGATTAATCCGTCCGTGACGCACGGCAGCACGGCCGGTGTCTGCGCGTACGACGCCGCCGCGCGCGGCCTTCGGGAAAGGCCACCACCCCTCGTGCGACGTCGCGCGAGAACAGGTGGCGTCGTGGTACGGGCGGATCACAGAGACACGAGCCCCGCGCGGCGCAGAACGCCGATGCGGATGCGGGTCATGTGTGCGCCGTGCCGTGTCGGGGCACGGGGGCGCGCATGCGGCATGCACGAGCTCGCAGGCTGGCGTGCGCGGCGAGGACACAAGGACGTTAGCTGAGGACAGGGCCAAGATGCTGTGGGCTGCTTACTGGACAGTGGACAGCAAGGGCTCGCCTCAGGCACGCGTATCAGCAGGTCGGGACTCGGGAGCATGCAAACGTGGATCGGCGACGTACCATATTGGAGAGTACGTCGTACTGGAGCCTGGAGGTGGCTTTAATTTGGTCTCGTACCCGGTACGCAGCAGTACTTTGAGAGCTTTACGCGGTGGCAGTTTGGGGTTTTCCCGCGAGCTTTGTTGGGCAACAGGCTGCGATTCGGATGGACCGGGAAAAAAGAGTCACTGTTGTTTGCTTGTAGTATGTGTGAAAAGAGTACTGCTAGCGCATAAGCTAATGCTGACCTTAAGACTTTTTGTTTACAACAGTGACCTTGAGACTTGAGTTGTCATTTCAGAGTAGCTTGGCATTTGCCATTTGGCACATAGTGATTTACGGTTTTACAATTTTTACGCTACTGCGATCTTAACCCAGAGTAAACTATGAATATGATCCGAAGCAGTACAGCATGCGGCAGCAGTTTTCTCTGGCGGCCGACGATTTCCTGCGCTCCGTTTTGGCTTGGCCAGATGAGCAGCGGGGCAGCTAGCTAATAACGTGTCAGCATGCCGCTAATCTTCGTTACATAAATGTGTTGCTTATTTGGATTACGAACTCCAAATCAAAACACTTGATAGTGCGTGTACTCTTGCAAATCGGTTTGAAGTTTGAACCGCGGTATTCCTTACAGTTAAATATAGAATAAGATTTTGTGACATGTAGACCTCACGAGTCATGTTTATGGTTTTGATAAAACTTGACATGAGTACTGTCATTAGCCTCTTTCAGTCTGAATTCGACTTAGCCACGAACCAAACATACTACTTTGGTCAAAATTTGGCACTGCCTAAAGGCCATACCAAATATAACATTTGGACAAAATTTGGCACTGCCTAAGGCCATAGCTTTTTCCTTTTTTGAGGTAGCCTGACACCATTTTTTTTTAAAAATGTTTGAGGTAGCCTAAGGCCATAGATAGTACACCCTCTGCCTCAAAATAAATTAATTTTTAGAATCACTCGAAGTCAAACTTTACTAATTGTATAGGAAATATTAACAATATTTATGGCATATAATAAGTATGTTATGAAAATACATTTACTAATTTGGTGTATAAATATGTTTGCTCTTTTCTATAAATCTGATCTAACTTGAAACAATTTGAGCTAGAACAAGTTTAAAAGTCGATTTAAGTACAGTGTTTGGTGATGCCTCAAAGGATATGAGATGCGCAGCGTGGCAACCAAACATGGTCATAGCATTCCGGTTGGGCTATTTGCGCTAGTACACACATTATGTAGCCCGTGACACGGCCCAGTACTGCTATTGATTACGTGAGCCCAGTACTGCTATTGATTTAAAATACTGCGCTGATCGCTGGTGGTTGAACACTTGAACCTCTATTTCTGCCAGTCTCGGTGGGCATCGTAGTTTCATATAAACGCTTTTTATGATGTGGCAAGGCTTTTAAGAAGAGAGAGAAGAAATGAGTTTCATAGAGATGAAACTCTCTTGGCGCAAATATCAACTCTATACGAGTCATTGAATTAAATATCTATGAAAATGTAAAATAAAACTCTCCATTGAGAATGGATGTTTCATCCAAGTTTTATTTTATTCTACGTGATGTGGCAATCTTAGAAACAACGCCATGAAATTCTCCACTAAGACTGGTCTAAATAAAACTATTAATAATACCATTGACGTTAGAGTACAACATATGATTCATTATTACAGACAAGAAGGGAAAAATGAAGTTGTATAAATGGAACAATATACTGACCGCACAATTTGCGCCAATCCCAATATAGGTAGTTAATTATACTACTATGGGAACACAGTCAACTTCTAGTTGACTGTTCCAGTACATTTGTAGAACAATCAGCGCCTAGCTGGTCGCATTTTGGCAGCATTGACTGTATCTTATTCTTACCACGCCTCTTCACAATCTTGTACATCTTCTAGCATTTGTAGAACAATGAGCGGCTAGCTGATCGTAGTACTACGCATAGCTGCTATATATCACGAGAAACAAAACAATGGGCTCGATGGAACCCCAGAGTTTAGCATTTGGTATTTTCCGCATTGGCGGACCACTTATTAAGCTTCCATGGATTACCGTTATCACATTGAGCTGGAACCGTTGGGAGCGTCGTCGTACTTCTCGGCATCGACAAGATCTTGAAGCCTCTCCATGAGCACGTCGAAGTCGTCGTCCGACTTGAGGAGGCTGATCCTCGTGTACCTGCTGCCCGCCTCATATTCGACGCCGGAGCGCGTGATGATCTTCGCCTTCAGCAGCGCCTCGTAGCAGTCTTCGTCTTCCTCCCTCTCGCACTTCACCCATGCGTAGGCTGTCCAATTCAATCACCGGCGGTTAGTGCCGTCAGAGTGAGCTGCATGCAAGCGTTTTCGATCGGATTCCGTTCCAATTTCCAAACGCTCACGGCTCACCTGGGGATGGCTCTCTGACCCGGTTGAAGTAGGTGCAGTACTGGGGCATGATCTTCTGCAGCGAGATGCGGCGGGACCGCGACACGACGGCGCTGAGCCTGAGCCATCTGCTGCTCATCACGTCGTGCCCGAAGCCGAAGATGTCGTCCTTGCCGTGCAGGTTGGCCAGCATGAACCTGACGATCCCCAGCATCCGCAGCTGGGTGTCCCGGGACGCGCCCATGTTGCTGTTCGACAGGTAGTCTAACGCCCTCTGGGCCACCTCGTCATCCCTGATCAGCGCCCATCTGCAGCGTGCAATGCAATGCGCAGGATGAGTTGTGTGTCACTCTGTCTGCCCATGCACACGTGACGTACATACCCGAATCTGCTGCCAGCATGCCCGGATGGCTTGGAGATGGTGAACATCATGATGTCCTCGTCGGCGGCCGCAGGGATGTGCGTGAAGTGCGGCCAGTAGTACGCGTGGTCGACGATCGCCGACGCCGAGCTGCAGAGGACTGGCTTGCGGAGCATGGCGTCCGGGTTGTTAGGCGACGTGACGAACTCTATGAAGCCGTCGGTGGAGTTCGTCCGTGACGCGTTGGTCCACAAGGCCGTGGTTCCGGCCCACCTGTACTCACGGCCGTCGAACATGGAGGTTTGCAATCTGTATGACTGCACGGTATATATGGATTCAGCATAAGAAATGACTTGCCTTAATTAGATGGGTGGATGGATGATTGAAAAGGCTGACCGACCGGGTAATACGGCGCGGCCGCGACCACTCTGGACGGCGGCTTGGCGGCCATGGCGTCCGGGGACAGCGCGTGCACCAGCGCGTTTATGAGCTGCAGCGAGCCGCTGGCGAAGACCAGGTGCTTGTCGTCTGCGACGGCGTTGCCCACGGCCCTGTGCAGGCGCCGGATCTGGCGCTCCAGCTCCACGGACTGGAACCGGCCGGTGGTGGTGTAGCTCATGCGGTGCCACCCGGAGAACACCACGGCGCTGGCCGCCGCGTGACGCCGCCAGTACGGCTCCAAGAACAACGGGTTCCCGCTGCCACAAACAACACGACCGTCAATCAGCACATCCACATGGTTAGGTACTTAGGTCCAAAGACCAAACGGCACGGCCGGGGCCCGGGACTGTGAGCGCTCCGCTCCACTGTGGTTGCATCGATGACGTTTTACCATGCCGACGCTAGCCGTGGATCTACTGGTAATAATTACCTAGCTAATTATTAGCAGATCTGTTTAGTACTGGCAGGAGGAACTAACAGTTTTTCCACTTATCCACATTAATCTCTCTTGTAGTCTGGGTCTCATTTAACACCTGGTGCTTTAATTGTCCTTTCCGCACTGCTATTGGATACTCCAAATGGCGCTACTCAATTAGAATTCTCGATAACTCGAGAGCTATTAAGGTTCAACAGTTTAATGAGGGCAACATTGTCTTTTATCTTGTTTACTATCTGTCCTAAAGTTGCTAGAAATTCATTCTTTCAGGGACATGGAGTGTATGGTAAAATAAATGATGTATATCATTTATAATTACATATTTGAGCTTATGATAAACATTAAAGGTTTCTACACATGTGCATGTTGTCTTTTAGAGGATTTATTCCTAGAGTTCTTTTTAATTTAGGTTTAAATACTTACAGATACCTTATGTTTTTTATTTGAGGGAGTACTAATAGTTAATTCATCTATTAGATGTGTTAGGATTTATTAATACTCCTAATTTTAGCTAGTATTAATTAATATGTGGATGCATCTCCGCGCTAAATAAAAAGCTAAGGCTGTACGTATCCGTCCATGGCCCACGTGTCCCTCCCAATCATCACCCACGCAAACTCGCAAGTTGAAGCTGGTGTCCACAAAAGAGCTCCGACCAAAACACAGTAGCGCTGCTGTTCGGTTATTATAGCAAACATTATAGCACGAACGAAGCTGTCAAATAAAATTATTTTCAACAAAATGAATAAGGTAAATGATGAGGCCGGAGAAACAAGTATTTTTAGAACTTTATCTAGTTTCTGCTACAGTGGCTACAATAGTCCAACAATGTAAATAGTTTCAAGTCATTTCTTCTCTCTTCTCTTTAATTCCAATAAATACACTATTACCTTGCCATGAAAACTATTTATTGAAACTGTCCTAATAAGGGCCTTCCCGGATCACGGCTCGATTATTATAATATGGATTATACATAAGATTATTATAATCAAGATTATAGATTTACAATAAGTGTTTGGATCGACGGATTATGGTGGTCGATTATGATTGGTTAAAGCGAGAAATTTTTATCTTATATTTTATAGTTTGGTAAGTTGGACATCGTTGGGGGAAAGTTCGACTTCCAGAGAACCTATAATCCACTATCTGGTCTCACCAAGACTATGGGACTATAGTAATTAAGAGTTTTGATTATAATAATCCATCATATAATTAATCTTGTTTAGACCAAAATTATATAATTTGATTATTTATTATAATCGTTAGGGCAAGGGCCTAAAAAGAAGAGAGAAAAATCTGCTTCCCGTTATCACCACTCGACCAAACAAAGAAGGTAATCGTTGATTCACCTTTTGCGTTGACGCTGGTAGCTGTTTCGTTTGTGTTATTAAGGTTGCCGCGGTGGAAGCAAACAACACCTAAAGTATAATTTGTTTCAAGCTAATAATAGTACTCAGAGCAGGCAAAAATTATGCGTCTCTACTTGCCATCATGGACACGAGAGAAGCTAGAGTGCTCGCCCAGCTGAAACAAGCAACGCAAGCAGAAGCAGAAGCACGCGAAAATATACCTGTCGGCGTCGGCGGTGCAGTTGGGCGTGCGAAGGGAGCAGTCCGGCCCGCCGAAGCAGCTGTTGCACTCGCACCCGGGCCGCCCGTCCTCGCCGGTGATGCCATCGAGGAACACCTGCCCGTGGCCCGAGCACTCGACGGCGGCCACCGCCTCGGCCTCCCTGGCCGCCTGCAGAGACCAGGTGAGCCCGCAGCTGCCGCCACCGTCGTCGTCACGGAACAGCAGCGACGGCGAGAGGATGAAGTGGTGCGCGAGGAAGACGGCGTTGAGGAGCAGCGATGAGTAGGCGAGGCCCAGCGGGAGGCCGAGGCCGGCAGGTCCTCGTGTTGCATGCTGCCGTCCACCTCCCGTCTCCATTATTGAGTGTCTGCTCTGATTTCTCAAAACCAAGTGTATATATATATATTTAATTTAACATGATGCGGATGCTGACTGCTGAACCCACTGAGCAGTGATATCTACTATCCAGAAGAAGGAAGATCGATATCCTGTGGTCCCAAGGAGAGATAAAGACCCTCAGAATTCTTCCATCTGAAAAAGCCTTGGAAGGAGTATTCGACTCCTTCGTAGGCTCGGGGGCTACTGTCGGGTATCAGTATTAGAGATCCCTGGAAGAAGAAAGTTGATGGCCGCAAACGCTAACTCGTCCGGATGATCAAGAGCGTATTTTGGTCTCGCCTGACCCCGAAGGTACGGGTTCCGTTTCGCTCGACCCCGAGGGCACGGGCTCCGTCACGTCTGACCCCGAGGGCGCAGGCTCCGTCTCGCCCGACCCCTCGAGCGCAGCCTCCGTCACGTCTGACCCCGAGGGCGCGGGCTCCATCTCGCCCAACCCCTCGGGCGCAGACTTCGCCTCATCAGACCCATCGAAGGGGGATTTCGCCTCGCCCGACGGGGGTCCGTACCGCCTCCAATCACTACGGGTCTAAGAGTACGAACCTAGGGTCAAACTTCTGACACCAGAAAGGAAGTAGGCGCGTCTTGACGTGACCCACGGCCACGACGAACCATACCTGAGGACTCACGTCGCCAACAGTGTCGGGCGTGCCGGCGCTATGCTACCTAATCCCCGTACGACTTTCGACGGGGGTATCCGCTAACCATGCCGTCCGCCGGGATGGAATGGAGCGCCATGACCGGCTGATGACGCCCGCGTATAGCGCCAGTGATGAACAGGGTCACAACGTGGAGCCGTCCCCATCATCATTTACAGGACCGGCGGGACCCGCACAAAGGAGATGAAGGGCACCGCAACCCCGGAGGCTTTCTTCCTCCTCGCTTCTCTCTCTCTTTCTCTCGTGTAACCTGCACCTTCCCCATCATCTATAAAAGGGGAAGCAGGACGCCCCACGAAGGGCACGCGGAACGAACTCAACGAGACTCAACTCCGTTCGACCCTTTCACCAGAGATTTAGGACCTGCTCCCTCTCTTGTCCGTTTGTAACCCCTATTACAAACTAGTGCCGGTAATACGAGCAACGACAGACTGAACGTAGAGACATTCCGCCCGAACCAGTATAAATTCTTGTGTCCTCCGAGCATACCATCCAGGCCAGACACGCAAATCACAAATTTGTTAGTCGGTGATTCGAAACACCGATACTAGTGGTACTGTGGTAGTGGGGCATAATGGTAATGGTCCGAGCTCGGATTGCGAGCAATTCGTCATGCCCGTAATAAAAGTACAAAACACTTCCGTCCAGAAATGCAATTCTAGCATAGTGTCATGGTTTAGTATCTTAAGTTTGATTAATTATAGATAAAAAATATTAATATTTATGATATCAAATAAATATTATTAGATTAATTATGAAATGTATTTTCATAATAAATTATTTTGTAGCCGTAAATGTGAATAGTATTCACTAAAAATTTTGTCAAATACAAACTACTTTTGACGGCACGCAACTTGTGGTTGCATTCTTTGTGGATAGAGGGAGTATTATTTTCTAGACAGGCACCTAGGACCTGCTACTATTCTTTTTTGGACCAGAGTATCAGGGTACTATTACTTTTTGGCTTGGTAATAATGTTAGCGCATGGCAACGAAATATCCTATAATTCGATATGCACCATTTTAGCTTATATGAACACTGGTTGTGAGTTTAGTGACGCACAGGACAGAACACGACTCTTTTCTTTAGTTAGTATTAGTAAAACACTAAGACCCTATTAGCGTATAAAGTATTTTTAGAGTTTTAGAAAAATACCATAATTTTATAAAAAAATTCATTTTAGAGTGCTGTGAAGTGTTTGTGTGCAACAAACTTTACAGTTTGAATACCATGATATTGCTGAAATTGTAGTCTTTTTAGAGTTTTAAAAACTTCACTCTAGATCTCTTTTTTCTAAACCACGGTTTTACAGATCAATGGTTCTAAAATTACAGCTTAATACTACAACATCCAAACAAGACCTAAACTGGTATGGACTCTATTGTTGCTAAGAGCATCTTCAGGAGTTTTGTAAGAACAACTCCCTATTTTGATTTTTTAGCAAAAAAAAAAAAAACCTCCAACGGTTCGGTAAAAAGAGCTCCTCAAAAATAAAAAGGTTACCGAATATTCTCTCAAACTCACAAGTTTCTACAGTCGAGAGAAACTCCGTGTCCACTCCCCAACTGACATTTCTCTCGTGAGATTGGAGTAAATTGGACACATGAGTAAATTAAAAAAATAAAGGGTTCTAGATAAGAAAACGGTAAGAGACAAGTAAGCTATTAAAAGAGGTTTGGTTGGTTAGAAATAGTTCGGTCTTCTAAATACAATATCGTTTAGAAAGGTAATATAGAAAACTATTGAAGATGGAAATAATTGAGGTTGCTACTTATTTTATTAACTCACTAAATTTATTAGTTGAGGAAGTCAATTATAGGAAACATTTCGAGTTAAGTACTTTGTGAGAGCTCTTACAGGCGCAGCTAGAGTAGCAGACCAGCAGACGCTGCTGCTTTATTTAAGGCATGCTTGGACCCCTCTAGTTTTGGCGGTTTTTAAGAATCTAGCTTTTTTATCGGGGATCAATACTATGGTACCCGAAGATGATGAGATAATAACCATCAACATTGGTTCATCCGAGCAGTCAAGAGCATGACTACAGCTCTAACCGACCCTAGGTGCGCAAGCTCCGCCTCGCCCGGCCTCTGGGGCAGGCTCCACCTCACCCGACAACGAGGCCGCGGACTCCGCCTCGCCCAACCTCTGGAGGCGGGCTCCGCCTCGTCCGACCTCTGAGGGCTGGCTCCGCCTCGCCTGACCTCTAGGGCGGGCTCCGTCTCGCCCGACACCGAGGTCGCGGACTCTGCGTCGCCCGACCTCTCGGGACGGGCTCCGCCTCGCCCGGGCTCTAGGGGCAGGCTCCGCCTCGCCCGACCTCTGAGGGTTGGCTCCGCCTCGCCCGACCCTTGGTCTACGCTTTTCTTCGCTCGACCTCTGAGGGCAGGCTCCACCTCGCCCGACCTCTGAGGGCTAGCTCCGCCTGGCCAGGCCTCTGGGGGCGGGCTCCGCCTCGCCCGACCTCTGAGGTGCACATGGCGCTAGTGACGGACAGGGCCGCAACGTGGAGTTGTCTCTGTTGATGTCTACAGGATCGGCGGGACCCACGTGAAGGAAAAGAAGGACTCGGTGATCCTAAAGGACTTCTTCTCCTTCTCATCCTCCTCTTTTTGTTTCACTATTACCCGTGCTTTCCCTTGGTCTATAAAAGGAAAATCAGGGCATCCCATAAGGGGCATCGCAAGGCATCGCAATACATCGCTTCAATTTGGACTCAAACCCCGAACCGATCAGAACACACGAGCACACAGCCGGGAAGCCACCGAGCTCTCGGCACCCGTTCGCCCCTCACCAGAGACTTGGGACCTGTCCCTCTCTCGACCCTTTGTAACCCCTACTATAAACTTTCAGTGCTTGTAACACGAGCAGCAACAACGAACTAGACATAGAGACATTCTGTCCGAACCAGTATAAACCTCGTATCCTCTTAGCACACCATCTGAGCCAGACGCGCAATATTAGAAATTTACTAGTCGGTGGCAACTCGAAACACCGACACTTTTGGAAACTGGATGAGATCTAAATTAGATCAGTTTTTGCTGCTAGTTTTTGCCAGATTCATAAAAACCAGGAAGCTGTTGATACCTAGCTTTTGCCAGTTTATTGTGATCCATAGAGCAATAAATGAAGATAGATTCTTAAAAACAGGGGATCCAAACACCCATCAGTTTTTATTCAGGATCCAGATTTTAAAAACTAGAGGCAAAAACTGCTTTTTAAGAATCTAAAATTGATCCAAACAGAGCCTTAGTTCAAGCGAATTTGCATTGTATGTTTGAGGGTGAAAAACTATCAAGGCACATTTGCAAGAAAGAGGTATTATAGCTATATCAACAATCAATTATTGTTTTAGTTGATGCTTCTTATAGGTCGTCCGTCCGTCCGGACGAACCCTGTATAAGTCACCCGCTTGCTTTGCGCCTCGGCCGTGGTGCCCCCGCCCGCGTCCCCTGCTCGCTCGGCGCGCTGCGTGCCTCTGCTTCGGAAGAGAACCCACCCTCGACCACGCAGCCCCGCCTGCGTCCCCCCCAGCCCGTGCCGCATGCGCCCGTCCGGACTCGCGCCTCCCGTCGCGGCGGCGCTCCATCCGACTGGCCCTGTCGAGGTCTGTGCCGCCGACAAGATCCACACCGGCGACCTCCGCACCAGTCGACGGCATCGAGCTCCGCGTCGACAAGCTTCCATTCGTCCAAGCAGATGCTACGCTGAATGTGCATATTGCAATAGTATGTTTAAATGGTTTTAGATATTTCAGAGGTATGTTACAAGTGTAGTGTATCGATATTGCAGAAGTATATATGGATGTTGCATATGTTGTAATGGCTATACACGTATGTTTTAAGTGTATGTTCCAAATATTTAATCTGTTCTAGACGAATGTTGCAAGTGTTTTATCTGGATGTTGCAAAAGTAGATCTGGATGTTGCATATAAATACACGTTGCAAGCATATGTTTCAAGTGTTTTCAGGTGTTTCATACGTATCTTTGCGAATGTTTCATTTGGATGTTGGTTTGCAATGGTTTTCAAATGTTTTTTAGCCGTTTTCACAAGTGTTTTCAGATGCTTGTTTTAAGTGTTATTTGTCTTCTTTTGTATGTTGCAACTGTTGCATCTCAAAAGTAGATCGGGTGTTGTACATGGGATGCGCGTTGGAAGCGACCGGCGGCGCGGACGATCGGAGCGGCGTGGGTAACATCCTGGGCGACGCGGGCCCACTATTGGTAATCGCGAGCCCAACACGCTCGTTTGTTCGCTCTGCGTGGTAGCGTCCGGACACTAGTGCCCCGGACAGATGTCTGGG